TGTGCTGCATTTTGATCCTGATTTAATTTAAAGTTTGTAGATGGGGTCTGACCTTATCTATCAGAGACTGAGCTGTTGTCTCATGGAAATGCAGTCTGAAACTCATTAATAGACTGGCCTGTATATTATAACTTAGATACTCTGGGTTATCACCGATGCTTGCAATTGCTATGGAAACCGGGTTCATATGCACCTTCAAAGAATCTGCTTTAAAACAGGGAAAGAGGAGAGGAAAAGGAAGGCTACTTGAAAGAACAAGATATTAGTACCCAACAAGCATAGACAAGTTCAATGATGCAAAAATGCTCTGCCTACACAATGATAAAAACATTTTTTTAATATTTTTAGAAGCTAATAATGTATAAGCTTGTTCTAGAGAACTGTATTTATACTAGTGAGGAAGAATGCCTGGGGGAGCGTCCCCGCTGTGAGCACATGCACGCGTGCAAGTGTACACTCGTATATGCACACACCCCTGAAAAATTCCAGTTTTCCCCTGACTTTTTCTGCCTGCATCCTTAAGTCCTCCAAAAACCCTTACATATGCATCTTCAGTTACTAAATTCCAACCCCCAGTGGAAAACTGTCTCCTTCCCATCCTCCACCCCCAATATATGCAAATGTATTTTGTATCTTATAGACTAAGTTTTCCAATTTTAAATTAGCAGCTAAAGTGCTCAAGGTTCTCACCAAACTATTTCAGCTGCATTCCTCCCTAAATGGGGTTTTTGGAGTCTCCGTATCTTACCTCTCTCCTTACTCACATTGTCCCCTAATAATCCCACTAATCCAAGAATCCCAACAATGCAAGTGTGTTCTCCTGCTGGGTAAACACTAGAGTGGGCATCATCGTCACATGACATCACGCTGCATTCCCCTTTATCCCTAATCTGCATTCCCCTTTATCCCTAATCTGCATTCCCCTTTATCCCTAATCATTCATTCACAGCCATTCCATTTCATCTGCATTTGCTTTTCTCCACTCACTCCTGCCCCGGGTCACCAGTCTCTAGCTATGGTGCCTTCTCAAAGAACTAATTTGTGACTAAGCAAACACTTGAAGGGGCAGGATTCACACACCATTTAAAAATAAGACAGGAGCCGGCTGAATAGCTCAGGGAAAGGATATAAGTTTTAACACACTCATTTCTTCCCCAATATTTCCCTATGTAATTGAGTCTTATATCTCTTTTTCCCTTTCGTTTCCCTTTTCCCTGTCTTTTTCATGCTCCAGCCAGCCTCATGTCTCCTGCTGTTACTCCCCCTGATCTTCCTCCACCCTTCCGTCCCACCCCAATAATCTGTATGTGGAGAATTGAAGGTGCAGAGATGTGCCCCTGTCTCTCAACTTCATAAACCACACTTTGCCTGCACCAGGGTTTCAAAAATGGACCCAATGTTCCAGAAGAGGACAATAAAGCTACATTAGCATGATCCAATAAAAGGAATCATGTTTATATTTCATATGTTATATAGCTATTTTGCTTATGATGTAAAGTTTCTGTGATTTTTCATCTCATCTCATTTGGGCATCTCTAAGGGAAAAGAATTCTTCTAGGTGACACACCCCCACTTAAAGCTGAGCCCTCTGTTTACTACCAGCAGGGTCTTCACCTTTCTGTTTACCTCCCTGCTTGTGAAGTCGCCTATGTTTTCCCCCTTAATGCTTCTCACTGTGCTCATCCCTCACCTGTGTCAAGTATGGGCTGTGCCTCCTTTTTCTTAAACCAGAACAGGATCCGAGGATTGGGCTTCCATTGACATCACCTTCAGATGGAACAGACTCAGAGGATGGTGTTGCTCCACAGGAACCCGGAAGCCAGTTCTTTGCTTCCAGAAAGTTATGTGACTTGAAGAAAAACTCTTGTCCTTTTTTTAAATACAGGTATCTTCTTCCTCCGAAAGCTTCATACATGAGCATTTCCGAACCATACACATTTCCCCCACTAGACGCAGACCTCTGTGGGGGCAAAGGCTGTGTGTTTCATTCACTTCCCCCCTCTGCCAGACATATGGCCATGTCTGGTAAATGTGTGTTCCTTTGTTGGAAGTGCTACTGACAGATAGGCTATTTCCATCCAGTGGCATATTTGTATGGGTGAATATCTCAGAACAGAAAATAGGAAGGTGTAGCATGAGGACACGGAGCTCAGAGCAGTGTTGGGGTGTGGGAGCACCTCCTAAGTTAGACAACGCTCTCCTTAGACAACTCACACTTCACAAGTCTACAGAAAGGCAGTCCTAGCTGCTTTGTCAGGGTAGTTGTTTGTGGTTAGGGAAGGGTGGAAAAGGGCCGCCAATCCCCATCACAAACCTGAATAGTGGTACATAGTGGGGAAAAGACTATGCCTTAACCTGAAAGACCTGGGTTTAAATCCTGATCCCATCACCTAGAGTTATAGAGTCGGTCATTTATAGAGTGATGTCACTTTACAGACACGTCATTTCTTCATCTCTAAAATGGGAGAAGCATTTCATAGGATCATGTCATAATTGAGTGTAACAATGTTTTTGTTTAAAGCCGCAGTAGTGTATTGATGTGTGTCATCTCTCAGAAAATGACAATTACTAGTGGTAGTAGTAGTGGTAGTAATGTTGCCATAATTATTTGGGTGGAAAAAAGAACCACCCTTTTCCTCATCATTTCTTCACTAAGATTTTGTCTTGTTTATGATAGTTCAAAGTTAATGACTCATTGAAAGCCAGTCATAACTTTTTTTTTTTTTT